CCCATAGGTTCCCATAAAAGACAAATAGTGATACAAACATGTTGTTCCTCTAATTGATATTCATCTAAAGGCCACATATAAAAGCAGTAAAAGTGATACAATTAAAACCTTAACAAAATTATCAAATAGTATGTAAGAAAGATAAAAGATTAATATTTGCACGAATTTAATTATCTTAAAATGTTAAATATGATGATTAAGGAGCCAGTCAAAGACAATTTTTTGACGAGTTGTGGTGTTAATAATGGCAAGACTCATTGACGATGTAAACTACGATGCCGGAGAAATGTCTGGGAATAAATCATGCCTATGGTCCGACTCTGGAAATGCATCCAGGTCTTCTTGCCAATATGGCCAAGTTAAGAAGACGAGGTCAAACAACTACCATGGATCAAAATGAGACTGCGACAAAAATAGAGGCCACAATATCTTAGTCTTCGTATCTAGGATGAATACACTTTACTTGTAACTCTAATAAGTTTTAACTATGTGTTGAAGGTGGCGCCTATCATTGGCGAGGCGGACGAAATGTCTGAGAATGTACCAAATCAGCGGTCGGATGCTTGAAATCATTATGAATAGTATGGCAGAAATGCAGGACTAGGTACGTTCCATAAGGTCTCCATATCGCTTCTTAGTTGCGAAAACGAGGACAAGCCAACGTCAAGGACTGATAGTCCAATTTTCCCACAATCGGATCGGCAGGTTTCAGTATACCATTGAATTTCATTAAGACTTGCCTCACGAAAGGATATTTCATCCAGGATGGACTACAGTATCGACCTCGCATAGGCCTAATCAGCATCCCCAAGGTAATTCGATACAGAATTGTATCATGGTGGCATTACCACTTCATTACACAACCGCATGATAGACGAAAGTTAAGCACGTATTCATTGGAGTCGCCACAAAGTGTGCAAATGACTTAGTTATAGGAGATCCAGTATATGGTCAAAATACATAGGGAGTAATGTGCTTGCCTCTTAATCGCAAATGCATAGTTGAATCCCTTCAAGGAGTAGTTATGAGATCGAGATGAGGTCGGAACCGCAATCTATCCTGGATTAGAACTGCCCTTTTCGGATTCATGACGAAGAAAAATTCAGTCGTAAATCATATATGGATAACTATAGGTGTTCCAAAATTCTCATTTAAAATAAGTATGTAACATCCTAGGTAGAGCATCAGGCTTTTAAATAAATTCAACAATAGGCATGTATCATACGATTGAAGTTCACAATATCCATAATTTCATAATGGATAACCCAAAATTAATTATATTTAAAATTAAAATACAGATGGTAATTCTTATTAAAATAATTAAATCGGGTACTATATAATACGAAGAGTTGTCATGATCAATAAGTAAAAACAATTCAGTACAGAGGATAATTATAGTAACAACGATAGGCATGAATAACAATTAGCATAGACAACTTGATATCAAGCTTCATCTACCAAAAGTTTGGGGATAAGTAAAATTAAAACAGGTTCATCAATATCATAATAACCACGAATGACAACAAAGTTAAAAACTAACGTCAATGGCTGTATCTGAAGGAGCCGAAATTATGTAACTAGTGAAATAAGTCAATGTGGCAAAGCAAACTTTTTAGTCTAAATTTCATCAGAATTAAACAAGTTAATAAAGAGTAATAATACTGAGGACTCTCGACAGATTTAGAAAAAAAACCAGTTTTGCTTACAAGCTGTGTAGAAGCTTTGTGTAATTTAAATTATATAGGGAAATCATAAATGATGGTGAAAAGACATTAACAAATTAAAATGAAATTTTCATTTGGGTGAAACATGAAAACCAACAATTCAACTAAAAATGTATCTATCTGGCCTGGAAAATAAAGATATTTTACTTTTAAATAATATTAACTTTTACAAAGCAGTTATTAAGATAAATAATCCACACAAAAGTTGAAGTAGTTGAATAGGTTACTAACTCAGTCCAAATAATAGTTGGCAAAGGTAGACACGAAAAATGTCATCTTTCGAGATATCTTTTAGATAGCACAAGGAAAAGTAATTGAGACCATTTACATTGTAGATTCAAGAAAGAGATGTCAACTAATTATGAGGGAATCAATTACAAAAATGACCCCAGTCAACTTAGTCTCGATAAAAACAATGTTGTATTTTGTCCGAGTTAAGTGATTATACTAAGTTTTTATCCTGAAAAAGGCACTTATGAAGTAAGTACTACATGTCTTGCTCCAATATTTTTCGTAAGCTTTGAAATGTAATTCAGCTTTCAGCGAACTTTAGCCCGTCTGATAAACATAAACTCCTGATATATCTGATTCTGTTCATAATAATGGACTGGATTGCGAACCAACTTGCAGACCAATGAACTGCACAATTCCAAGCCACCTTTGACTACGAGCAATTTAAGCTAAAAATGCATCGTTTGTATATTAGACGAAGGCAATTGATCGTACATCAATAATACACGTTGTTCATCAAAATCCACTATTCGGACAGACATTTTTTGTGGCGATTACCTTACGTCGGTATGGATTGCTAAGTGCGCTGTGAATAAGCAAATCCTCGTGATGAATCCAATGCAAGACTTTAATACCACAGACTGATATATATGCCTTCATTTCCTAGGTGACACAAAAAAGAACTATCTCGGCGCTATAAAAATAATACGAAACTGCAAGTAGAATGTTCTGCTGTCAACAGACTGCATTCATATGCAGGAAGCCAAGCTACATTTTTACCGAATAACAAGCAGAAATACCATAATGCCTTCCGTATTCAGAAAGTGGATAAAGGACCAATTCAATAAAATGCGAAAACGTATTTTGAAAAAAAATTCTATCAGAATACGAGTTCAAGTCGCGATTTTCTATACGCAAGACACTGGTATTTAAAAATATAAAAGAAAAAATAATGTAGTATGCTTGGGCTTGGTTGCCGGACTAAAAAGATAGAAGCAATGCAGCCGAAATACATGAGCGGAACACGCCAATTTTGTGTAGAACCTAAGAAGATATTTTTGTTTAAAATATATGGGAAATCATCAGGGAATATTTTCCCTCAAAACTGTAAAAACTAATCATGATTTGATAATAGGTGTATATGCGAAAATCTTCTGAGATAAAATTGTTGTGAAGACCTTCATTTCGAGATAAGATAAGCACAACAAAATGTTCATATTTTAAGTAGAACTGGAAAACTAATCACAGCTCAAGTGATTTTGCTGGCATTTACTGAGAAAGTAAGTCAGATAAGCAAACTATTGTGTGACCACTAAAAATCAATTTATCAAGCAAAAATTGTAAATTTTGTCTAGCTGATGAAAATGGGCTTATGTTGAAGATTTTAAGTAAACTAGACAAAAACATCAAGCGAAGGCTGTTGTACTGCCTATGATGCACTTATAAAAACTGAATGAATGAAAAAACTAAGTAATTCATAAAATAATGCATATATTTCTTTCCTATCAAGATGACAATTGAATATAGTTATAGCTGAAGTATGCGTCCACCCAATTACAAATCCTCAAACTGGTAAATTATTCGATAAAAGGATTGACTTTTCCTGGATGCACCCCTGTCAGCATAAGCCTACATATTTACACAACTGAGGATAAAAAGCAGAAAAAATATGAATTTAGATGCTGTTGGAGACAATCAACAAAGTAGGCTGGATTGCAAAATTTCCCCTTTTGAATGGGTTTTGAGCTAAGTGAAGCCAGAGAGAGAGAGAGAAAGTATTCTTAAGCTTTATTTAGGTAAAATCCTTTATTTAAGAGCGACTTTTATCATTAGATTATACCTGAACTTAAAATAGCGATAATTGGAATTCTGGATTGCCCTTTGACCCCAAGAACAACGCCTGAGTAAATAAGTGGTCTGACCACATTTTCGCAACTTGATCGTGTTGTCATATTGACTTAGTTGGACGCTCCTTATACTAATTCCACGGTCCGACGCTGGAAATTAAGATAACTAGTTTAGCAGAAGATATCAGACAAGGCGCATCTAAGTTGCCGCGACAATACGACCAAGTTGCGAAAACGAGGTCAGACCACTTCTATATATCGGAAAGAGACTGTGACCAAAAATAGGTTATAATACCTTGGTCTTCATATCTACGTTAAAACATCTAAGCAAATCTGGTGAAAATAAAAAGTAATTTGGAGAAAACAAATAAGTAACATACCTAATAGGAATGGGTTGACCTCGTTTTCGCAACTTGATCTTGTTGTCAGGGGGACTTAGTTGAACGTACCTGGTCCGAAGTCATCTGTTATAATAGTTATCAATGAAAATTTACCAAGTCCATTGTATGATGCTGAGAATTATGATAACTACTATAGCAGAGGACTTCGGACCAGGTATGTTCAGCTAAGTCGCCCTCACAACAAGATCAAGTTGTGAAAACGAGGTCAACTCACTCCTATAAATAGAAAGGAAACTGCAACCATACCGAGGGCCACACCATCTTGGTCTTCATACCTTCGATTAACATGCATAATGTTTACATTGATTAAGAAACCGATCGCCAATGGGATCAAAGTTGCTGCTTAATCAGGCGACTTCCAAAGTTATGGATAAACTTGATCATATATAAAAAATCTAATTGCTATGCTGTTAATTAATGGAGAGAAGTTTCTGCCTAATCGGAAACCATCAATACTTCCCCACATACAAATGGTGTGAATTTATAAAGCCACTCGCAAATTGCCATGAAATAAAGACCTTACTGAATTCCTAGAGTTCACTAGAAAGGAGAATTTGTGGTCTGGAGTGTTAGCCATTAATCGAGCCTCTTGTAGTGAAGGAAACGCAGCAAAATTTGCTATTTATAACTCAGTAAATTCACAGGTAAGAATAAAAATTTCGAAGTCTAAACAAAGATAAAAAGTCAAGCTCACCACACACTCAGCAACGATGCCGATGACTCCCTTGAGACTAGTGTCAACTCCATGCGGTCCTGTAACTGCATCTCTGACAACCTCCACCACTTGGCAGGCAAGCGGGTGGTCATCGTTTCTAGCCGCCTGCACCATTAGTAGTGCCCATCCAGGTACGAGACCTATCAATTGGGGATGCCGCCAACCGGGGCCAGAGGCAAGGCCGTTTTCGGTAGCCTGAGTATTAGGTATAGGATGGTGATCAGTTGGCCAGTAAATGCCAGCCACTGACTTACCGACGTCGTCGGAAACATCAACACCAGATTGTAGTAGCAAGTTACGGCATTGATCGGATGTCAAGGGCCCAGCAGCCTTAGGACCAAAGAGTGAAAACAAGGGGAAAGAGCGAACGACGAGGCTCAGTCGGTCAGAAAGCAAAGGTGTTACATCGAACTCGCTGCCCTGTGCATCATCGGAGCCCAAGTAAAAACGCTCTGTCTCCCCAGGCCGAGTTGTGTATATCCTTAAAAAGGAAAAATATGATAAAATCTTTAACAGATGAATATACATACTTAGATATATCATATATAGTAACTATAAAAAAGCTGAGTAATAAGCAATCGTTATCTAATTCTAATATAACAAAGAGTTATCCTTACTCTCAAATAGCTAAATTATTCTTGTTGAAGCACTATAGAACCTAAATAAGAGCGAACTTTCGAAACAATTGGGATTCCAGAGAAATAAAGATTTGCTCGTTAAACTGCTTAATTACCTAATAAAATAATTGCTCATATCCAAAAAGTTATCGATTTATATTATAAATTATTTAATCTATAAGGCATCAAACTAATAAAGGCAAGCAAGATCTAATCAACACTAGAAGCTTTGAAAAATCGTTCTTTGCAGTTGACCTCTTAGCAAAAGGATGAAATCATGAAAAGGCAAAAAAGTTTAGATTTATCTTGATCACAAGAAAAAATTCGAAGCACAGATTATCAACGTTGCGCCCAATAGAATATGAAACTTTAACATTACTGCAGAAATTACATAGCTTTATGGCCAAAATCCCATTTATCATAGTATCATTTGTATAATGACATACCAATCAGCATAATATTTGCTTGTAATACCCATAAATATGCACCCAAATACGCAGAAAACTAACATAATGAAGCAACAAATGATAGAGTACTTGATCAATATGGTTGGAAAGTATCAATAAATATAGAATAAGAACTTGAAAAAGTGACTAAACTTATTATTTAATGATAGAATAGTTGGAAGGCGTAAACCATATCTAGAAATCGAAGGTCTGTCAAAGTGAAAAGCAGGTCTCTTCATTATGTATTTCAGAACGGTCAAATATATAACCATAAAGTCGATGTAAGTGTATACACAAATGAAGACAAGAATGTATGTAATGGTGTAATTGAACAAACACATGTATAGTCACAAATACACACATAAACATACATATTGAGAAAGAGAGCTTAGAGGAATGATGATAATTAGTTAATCTAGGAAATTAAAGAATGCTCCAACAAAGTGCTTAGTTTGGAATAAAAGAATATTTAAAAAAGAAAAGCATTCTGTTAATGTATTAGATTACTTAAAAATCGTTATAACAGTGGCGATATGACAATAGATGATGAAGTTCGCATAATTCAAAGGTCTGGCAATGTGAAAGCACCATTTTAAAAAAGGTCTTTTAGTGCATTCAAGACAAGGTAATCTGTGAAACAGTCACATGCGAAAATAATAAGGCCGCCTCCATATGCAGTAAAGTTCACCATCAACTCGAATATACCTAAATCATACGCTGTATCCCTATATTTTGACAGAATCGAGTATGCCTATGAATAATATATACACTAACCTCGATGGTTTACTTTAAGGGGAAATAAATAAACAAGATAAAATGCAGGTCAAACATAGGTCAAGTAATTAAAGGTGTCCTTTCTTTATCCATAAATGCAAAGCATTTAAGCAACGCGATGTTGCACTAAAAGATCAGTTATTTGACAGATATCAGGAAAGTAAGTGTTTTAAACAGAAATAAGTTCGTTATTTTTATGGAACATTTAGCAAATCTTCCCAACATAAAACGAATAAAAAGATTAAACTCAACACAGGTATAAGGATAAATATGATGTAGCGTTTTATATGATCGCAGTTTCCTTTCGTTTAATACAGGTTGTTTGAGCTTCTTTTCGTAACTTGGTAATATTGGCAGGAAGACCCAGAGGAATGCACCTTTTCCGGAGTCCATAGTATGCATGATAATTTCCAGCCGGATCGTGAACTTGGTACATTCTCAGATGTTTCGATGGCATCGTCAGTAAGCCTTGCTATCCTTAGCACCACACTACAACTCGTCAAAGAGACAGGTGAAGTCGATCCTTTGACCAATTGTCTGCTAAAAAGTTGTAGCAGCTTTCCTACTGTCCTTAGCTATTCACCTAACTTATATCCCCTTATCACTCCTTCAATATCACAATTTCGTACACGTTAAAATAAACCTAGTTGAAACGTCTTCAGACTCTCCGCTGGTTCCCACATCCCTCCCTATCATGCCAGAGGTATTGATCAAAGGATGCGGTTTAATCACAAATCTCTCCCTTCAGGTCCTAATAAGCTGGGAAAACAAGGTCAAATAACTTTTATACAACGAAAGGAGACATCGACCATAGGAAAGGCCACACCATCTAGGTCCTCATACCATCGATTAAACTATGGAAGTAGGATTGCCAAAACAATGCACGAATTACAGCAAACAAAAAGACAAATAACTCTGATCAACATTCCCTGCACAAGGATGAAACGGGGGATGAGAACGACAGTTGGAGTGTGAAGGTATCATGTCGCTCAAAGGAGTACACCACACTATCTAAATAAACACGGTAAAAATTGTAATAGCGAAGGCATGATAGGATGCTACCGGAAACGGGAATAACCCAGGGCAGAATGGGAGATACCACAATTATTTAGCACAAGTTTGGTCAAAGGATCGGCTTCACTTGTCTCTTTGACGAGTTG